GGCGTTTTTTGTACAAAACTCCTGTTTTGCACAAGATCCTTATGTCTCTCTGGGACAGGCATAAGGATCTTGTGCAAAACGGGGTTTTGCACAACCCCTCTCCCATCCACACTGCTTCTTTTTGCACAAAAAACCCTTGCATAAAAAGAAAATGGCAGAAAATATGCTAATGATGTCACAATGTATGCTAATGAGTCCCTCATTAGCATATTTCCTGCCCAAAAAACTCGCAGTGTAGACGTAGCCTAGGGGATGTTCACAGTGCAATGTTCATCCAGGGTGTGAACTCAGACTCAAGCCTAACCCCCATTTTGTCTACACACAAATCGCATTAGCTTAGGGCTCGGACACACCGGAGGGATGCAGGGTCCACACCTGAGTTAAGCCGCGACTTCGAGTCCTGTTCCTTTGCAGTGTAGATGCAGCCCCACTGGCCTCGTGTTCTGGGAGACTGCTAAGAATATCCCACAATCCCATGGGCTGGCGTTCTTTGTCCGTTGCACGATCCCATTTTCCCACACTGCACCATGATGAAAGGCCCAGAAACAATGAGCTATGACGAAAAAAGGAAAGAATTGGGCTTGTTTAGTTTAGAGAAGAGAAGACGGAGAGGGACATGAGAGCAGCTTTCAAGTACTTAAAGGGATGTTACAAGGGGGAGGGAGAAAATTTGTTCTCCTTGGCCTCTGAAGACAGGACAAGAAGCAATGGGCTTAAACTGCAGCAAGGGAGGTTTAAGTTGGACATCAGGAAAAACTTCCTGCCTGTCAGGGTGGTGAAACACGGGAATAAATTGCCCAGGGGGGTTGTGGAATCTCCATCCCTGGAGATATTTCAGAGCAGGTTGGACAGACACCTGCCAGGGATGGTCTAGACGGTGCTTGGTCCTGCCGTGAGGACAGGGGTCTGGACTTGCCCTCTCAAGGTCCCTTCCAGTTCTCGTAGTCTATGAATCTGTGTATCTACAGCACCAGGCTGCTTCCCAGCAGGCAGACGTCCACATCCCAAAAACACCCTCCTCCGTGGCTGATGCGCAGTTTTAACTGCAGCCGCACCAGATGGCCAAGGAGTATCGACTTATCCCAGGGATGGGGCACGCTGCGGGCCAATGTGAGGGGTGATGAAAACACAGCTAGACTGCACCACACTGCATCGCTGCGAGGGCTAGAATTTTTGCAACGGCTCAGCTCACCTAACGGAGATCAGATTTGAAGACCAGCTCAGTTCATTGGGGGCTGAGCCCTTGAAAATCCGGCCCTGGGCATTGTGGGAGATTTGGCCCCAGAAGCTGAGAAGTGCTGACTATCTGGGCTGCCTGGCTCCGTTTGCAGGGCAGGGAAGGGTATGTCACTTCCAGCATTCGCCATACCAGGGAGTTTTCTCGCCAGGTGTCTGACAGCCATGCTGCACCCCCACCCCTACCCCCTGCGGCCCCCGTCCCCAGCTCCTTGCTGAGCTCCAACTGCTTCCCTCTGCTCACCCGCTTCTCAGCTGCGTTGCCATGCTGGGAGGTGAGTGCTTTGACATTTCCACGCGCTGAAGTGAGGAGAAAAGATACAGCTTCCTCCTGCATCTGCGGCAGACATACGGGGGCTGGAGCGTACCTGTCATCAGGTGCCAGTCAGAATTGCCTGGGCATGAGGAGACGTATCCTCCCGTCCCAGGGAACTGCCCCTGGATGTGCTCAGTCGCGACGTGTTTGCGGTGTAACATTTCCATTAGCAGCTGTGCGTGTGGCTCAGTGCACAGACCTCTCCTCCTAGCTCCCTGGTCGCTTGCAGTAGCTGTTCGCATCCAGGTTTTGGGGTGGGGGGGGGCGGACTTGGAAAGGGGGAGTGTTGTTGGAGCCACAAACCCAAACACACACACACCCTCCTCCCAGATATGTTTCTCACTCTGGTAAGGGTGAGTATCAACAGAGGGGGAAAAGGGAACCACCCAAAAAGGACCATTTGGCCTAGAACCAAACTGAGGATATGTCTACACTACCCAGCGTGACAGGGGTGTGTTGACTCAGCCATGTTGCTAAAACTCAGGCAACGTGAACACCATTGTCGGCACGCTTCCCAATAAAAACCTGCCGCCCGCATTTGCTGTGTCGGTGGGAGCAGTGTTTAGACTATTGTTTGCCACAACAAAACTTTTGTCGGGCGGTGTGGGGAGTGACGCGCCTGTGAACGACAAAAGTTTTGCCCCACAATTGTCCGTGTAGACAAAGCCTTGATCCGCCCTGTGGGTGTAATATCTGGATGCTTTAGGTCTTTGTGTGGGACACAGCATGGTCCGGACTAGAAAAGGGTTGTGCTGAAAACCTTTGTTACGTAGGCGCAGCATATAGCTTACCAGGAGACTTACCCAGTGTGGCCACTTTCTTAGCAAGACCTTGGGACGTGGGGCAGTGCTGGGGGGCAAGAGCCTGTTCTCTCCCCACCCTTGGGCACTGTGGCCAAAGCCTGGGAGGAGGGAAAGGGTTTGGGGTTGGGTGCTATTTACTGGTGTGCTGGCCGGCAAGATGGCAGAACCCCCACCCTGCTGGTCCCTCCCCTGGTGGAGCAACTCCCCTCCTCCCAGTGGCCACTCTCGGTATCAAGTCCCACTGAAAGCAGCCCCTCCCTTTGAATGTTCTGGAAAACAGTCCTTTTCCTGGGGCTTCCGGTTGTCCTGGCATAACCAAATCCTGGCTTTGCTTTCAATTGTGATAAGAAAAGCTACATTTCAAATTTGGTGGCCTTCGCTCTTACCATTTAGGAGGAGTTCTTGAACAAACGGACATACAGACAGACACACAGACTAGCTATTCAGACAGAGAGATAGATAAATAGAGGGGGTGGGTGGTGATAGATAGATAGATAGATAGATAGATAGATAGATAGATAGATAGATAGATAGATAGATAGATAGATAGATAGATAGATAGATAGATAGATAGATAGATAGATAGATAGATAGATAGATAGATAGATAGATAGATAGATAGATAGATAGATAGATAGATAGATAGATAGATAGATAGATAGATAGATAGATAGATAGATAGATAGATAGATAGATAGATAGATAGATAGATAGATAGATAGATAGATAGATAGATAGATAGATAGATAGATAGATAGATAGATAGATAGATAGATAGATAGATAGATAGATAGATAGATAGATAGATAGATAGATAGATAGATAGATAGATAGATAGATAGATAGATAGATAGATAGATAGATAGATAGATAGATAGATAGATAGATAGATAGATAGATAGATAGATAGATAGATAGATAGATAGATAGATAGATAGATAGATAGATAGATAGATAGATAGATAGATAGATAGATAGATAGATAGATAGATAGATAGATAGATAGATAGATAGATAGATAGATAGATAGATAGAATTCCAGGGAGCAAAATAAATGTATTGGCAAAAGCTCCTCTACACTGGTATAACCGAGCCTTTTCCATAAGGATCCCAAGCAATCGGATAGGAAGCGATGACAAGATGTGTAACTGTCTAAAATACAGAGGCCGGGAGAGAGCTAAATGGGTCAGATCCTTTGATAACAGAAATTCCTCCACTGCCGAACACAAGGGAAAGGCAGGGAGTGTTCGACAAGCCAAGGAACACGTTTTGTATGGATTTTAACATTAGGAACCCCTGATTAATTAGCGTCAACCTTTGAAAGGAAGAGGATTTCCCTGCAAGCTCTTTGCGGGGCCCTGCTTCCTCGCATGCTAAAAGGAGGCCAGCCCCTGACTCTGGACAGCGTTGTGTACTAGCACAGTGGATGCTTAAGTGGGAGTGCCCTCTCCCGCCCTGGAGAGAATGGCAAGTGACATGCATGGCTAGGAACCGGTCTCAAAAGACATGGAATGCTGAGGGGCATGTGGACGGGCATTCACCGTGGAGAAACCCACCAGGACTGAGATGTCCAGGGTGGAAGGAATAGTGTAAGGGCCTGGTCCTTACGACAACTGGCGGGGGATCGGAGTTTCCATTGATCTGACCTGGCAGTGGGAAGAGCAAACAGGAAAGCAATTGATTAGCTCTAGATAAAGGCAACCTAGCACCTACCTGCAAGAGGGTGGGGGCAAGCTGTTAGCGTCTCCTGTCTCCAAGGAAGAGGCAAGCTTGTTTCGCTAGGCCAGGAAGTGAGCAGCTTTTCAAGGGGCATATGGGGAGAAATGGTGGATGAGTGAAGGGACCAGACTATGCCAGTCAGGCCTTGGAGATTATGGGGGGGCTCTCTGGGAGATGTAGTTTGGTCAGTGTATTAGCCGACCAGACTATGCCAGTCAGGCCTTGGAGATTATGGGGGGCTCTCTGGGAGATGCAGTTTGGTCCCTCAGGGCTGATGGGGAGAACAGAGCCTAAATCAGTCCTGCTAAGGTAACCACCTGGGGCCTACTCTGAGAGCCCACGAGCCTAAATCAGTCCTGCTAAGGTAACCACAGTGAGAACTAGAGGGCTGCCACCCCGGGCCTACTCTGAGAGCAGACAAATCGTGTGGTTCAGCCAAGGGCCAGGGGACATTTTGAGGCCTGAGATCTGGGAGCGGAGGGAGTTGATGAGACAGGAGGGGTCTGAAGTGCAGGTCTCCTTGTGACAAGGACGCCAAGTGCTTTGCTAGGCCCTGGCCTGCAGTAGGCACACGACTGTGTGACCTGGCTCCAGAGGTTGCTCCAGGAGGCTGAAGGCAGCTCCCTTTCTGTGGAGAGCCAGCTCTCCTGAGCAGTGCAAAGGAGGGAAGGGAGCCCTCTGGTCGCTTTGTGGTAGCTTTGGGCCCTGAGGGGGAAAGAAAAAGGGCAATGGTAGGAAATCCACTTTGCTCTCCCCATTGCCCCAGGGCCTAGTGACAAGGCTGGGCAAGCGTCGGAGGTAGGCCCTGGAGAACCTGAGACATCGGGGTACCTCTCCGAGGTGCAGTCCCGCTCTGTCCCTGTAGAGCACCACGATGGCAGAGCGCCTTGGGCCCGGCTCATTCATTCTTTGCCTGTCTCCTTCAGGACAGAAAGCATGGAGGAGTATGACTACGATTACCTCAGCATCAATAAAACCTGGGTCCTGACCCCCAAGGCGCAGGAGACGGACGCCACCCAAATCCTCAACTCGCTGCTGAAGAACTACGACAACAAACTGAGGCCCGACATTGGCAGTGGGCAGCAGCCTTTGCTGGGTCTCCGGGATTTAGGAGAGTGCTCCAGGCCCCTCAGTGTGTGTCGGGGGGAGAGGGGGAGGGAAGAAGTTCTGTATGGTCAATGCTCCAGGCCCCTCAGTGTGTGCTGGGAGGAGAGAGGGAGGGAAGGAGTTCTGTATGGTCGCTTCCAGGGATTGCTCGGTTTATTCCAGACCATACGCGCTTCCTCACAGCAGTGCCACTACCAGCAAAGGGGACTCCAGCAATGTGAGTTTGTCCTTACGTCTAGTCACAGAAAGGGTCTCAAGCTGCTGTTCTAGAACCGACCCCCCTGCTCTACAGCAGACAGATCGCTGGTGGTCTCCCAGCCCACAGTGCTGGACCTTTCACCTTGTACCTGCCCATCCTTCCCCGTCTGCCTCTGTCCCCAGCTCACCTGTGTCCCTTTCACTCTCTTTCCAGTCAAGCCCACATTCATCGACGTGGACATCTACGTGAACAGCATCGGACCGGTCTCCGTCATCCAGATGGTGAGTGTGGGCGGTACCAGAGCCAAGGGAGATTGTGGGGAGTCAGGACAGGGAATTCAGACTCTCGACCCACGGAAATGCCTCCATGTCATTACCGCCCCCTGGGTTGTGCATTAGGGCCCTACTAACGTCACAGTCTATTTTGGTCATTGTCATGGTGATAGGATTTTTTCAATGGTCTGTTTTGTGATTGCCTCTATTTCAATGTGAATGGCACAGGGCTGTCAGTGTAGGGTCCTGACCCAAAAGGAGCTGTGGGGGGGGGGTTGCAAAGTTATTCTATGGGGGGTTGCAATACCACGAGCCTTACTTCTGCGCAGCTGCTGGCAGCCGCACTGCCTTCAGAGCCGGGCAGCTCTAGAGTGGTGGCTGCTGGCTGGGAGCCCAGCTCTGAAGGCAGAGCTACCGCCAGCAGCAGTGCAGAAGAAAAGATGGCAGGGTATGGTATTGCCATCCTTACTTCTGCACTGCTGCCTGCAGAGCTGGGGCCTGAGTCAGCTGCCGCCACCCTCTGGCTGCCCAGCTCTGAAAGCAGAAGAAAGGGCGACACAGGTACGGTATTGCCACCCTGACTTGTGCACTGCTGCTGGCAGGGCGCTGCCTTCTGAGCTGGGCACCTGGCCAGCGTTACAACCACCGCTCTCCAATTGCCCAGCTCTGAAGGCAGCACAGGGGTAAGGGTGGCCAGACCGTGACCCTCCTAACATGACCTTGTGATCCTCCTGCAACTCCCTTTTGGGTCAAGACCTCTAATTTGAGAAACTCTGGTCTCCCCCATGTCATCTAGCACATAAAAGGCCAGATGACATGGGGGGACTCCAGATTTTATGGTTTGTGACACATTTTGCACAGCTGTGGATTTAGGACCTTGGCGTGTGTCATGGCTTTTCTACTGACGGATCCAGACATCCTTCCCCTTCCATGGAGGGGAGACGCCAGGAGGCCTGGGCTCGCACAGCTGATTGCTGCTGGAGATGAGAAAGTCTGGGGCCTGAAAACCTGGCTCCAGGTGTGATGGGGTGTGATGATGATGGGCGATCACTGATCGAAAAGTGCTATGGGGTGTGTAGACACACACACACACACACACCCTGGAGGGGGTTAAGGTGGCTGAGATGTGGGTCTTCCAGAGCTGTAAGGGATGCTGAGGCCTGGCTGGGCTTGCCTAAAGCCAGGGTGCTTAGAGCAGAAGGTAGCTGCAGGGAAAGCACCAGCAGTCACAGGGTGGAGGGCAGGAAAGGATCCGCCAGGGGGCACAAGCCCTGGGCCCCTGTCCCTGCTGGAGGAGTTATGGGGAACCAAGCCATGGAAGGGAGAGGTCCAAGGAAAGCAGCCAGGGTTGAGATGGTGCAGACCTTGGCTGCTGCGGCTGGTAATCCTGGGGTGGAGCAGACGTACCGGCTGGGATTCAATGTGCAGGACCTGCTGCGATGGCACATGGGTGCATTGTTGAGTGGAGCTTGGAAGGGGGACATGACATAGTGACTTGGCTGAGTCAAGGGGAGAGAGCCCCCCATGTCCTGCAGAGTAAGAGGGACTGGGGGCTAGTGAGTGTGGAAGGGGGCTCTAGGCCAGTGGGGAGTGAACCCCATTATGCCAATTCCCCCTTCTCCAGATGCCCCAGCTGCCCTGCTTTGCACACAGGGCCTCGCTCTGCAAGCGGCAGGAGATGCTCTCACGGCAATCGACGCTGTTGTCTTCCCGATCTTTGATGCATGAACAGGTGTCTTGGGGTGACAGCTTCCCACAGCCTGGTGGGAAGGGAGACGATTGCTCTCGGGTTTGGGCACCCTTCATACGAGTGAAGTGCGCTGCTGCTGCTGGGGTGACATTGTGTCCTGTTGAGATGCGAGGCTGGGTTAGAGAAAGCCGTGTAATTCACAGCAAGATAGCAACACACACCCGGGGGCTTGTTGCTATGGTAATGGAATCACCGTGTGAAACAGGGGTGCACGAGCTTGTAGGCTGCCATGTATGGTATCTGGATGGATCACCCTGAGCAGCATTAATTAATGTTTATCTTTTAATTGCAGTAGTATGTACTGGCCCCACAAGAACCAGGACTGTCTTGCACTAGGCCCTATAAAAGCACACAGCAGACCAACGGGTGTACAAGCTAACTATCCGTGATTGGAAAATGCCAATTTTTATGAGAAATTTTTTTAAAGTTCATGTTTCCCCCAAAACTTTTCCTAAAATCCAGTCATGTGCTCAGTAAAGAAACTGAAAAAAAATTGAAAAAGTTCTCAAAACAATTTTTTTGAAAATAGTTCTCAGTAAAATTTGGGCCTTGGGTTGGTGGGGGAGTTTACTGGAAAAGAAAATCAGCTTTGATTTGATTTTTTACCAGAAACCAAACTGAAGTTGAATGTTTTTACCAGAACCTGGAAAATCTTCCGCTTCCATTCTTTCTTATGGAAAAAATGGACAATTTCAATCAAAACAAAGACACTCTGCAAATGGGCTCACTTTGGGTCCGCCGCCGTTTTGTGGGAGTTTTGGTTTGTTTTTTGAAACATTGATGGAAACATTTGGATGCTCTCTCTAATCTAAGCCATAAGGTGTCGCGGTATTTGCCCCTGGGATGTGTATACTGCAGCTGGCAGCTTGTAAGCTAGGCAGATGGGGACCTGGCTGGGCACTGCTTGAGTAATGAAGATATCATCAGGAGGCTTAAGGAATGACTCCCTCTTGTAACATTCAAAGAGCTTCTTCCGTTCTTTCCCCTTGCCCAGCGCTTTTCAGGGCAGTGGCTCAGGGCAGGTGAACATTCCACACCTGGCTGAGGAGAACACCACAGAGGGAGAAGAAAGGGTCAGGTGCGGCAGGGCAGCGGCCATGTTGAATTTCTTCGCTGCATCCCATGTAGCCCTGGGACATCGGCCCCAATTGAGAGGGACGTGAGGCGGGATGAGATCACCTCTGTGTTCAGTATTGCCACCCTTCCGCCTGCGAGACAGAGCCCTCTCCTCACTGCAAACAGCCACCAGAGCTTAATGCACGAGTCAGAGCCAGTGGGCTGATGAGTCTTGCCCACATGCTCAGAGTTTAGCTGATCGCCATATTTGGGGTCGGGAAGGAATTTTCCTCCAGGGTAGATTGGCAGAGGCCCTGGAGGTTTTTCGCCTTCCTCTGTAGCATGGGGCACAGGTCACAGCTGGAGGATTCTCTGCATCTTGGGGTCTTCAAAGTATTTGAAGGCTTCAATATCTGAGATATAGGTGAGAGGATTATTCTGGGAGGGGTGGGTGAGATTCTGTGGCCTGCACTGTGCAGGGGGTCAGATTAGATGATCATAATGGTCCCTTCTGACCTTGGAGACTATGAGTCTATGAGTGTGAGGACAAGGTAGCGTCTGAGCAAATCAGCAAATAAAAATAACCAGGACCGGTCACTCTGATTCTCTGGGTGCTGCCCATTTCTGCTCCGTGTCCGTTCCTCCTGGCTGTAACCGCTCTGGTTCTCTCTATCCCTCCTGTTAAGAGCTCTGTGCTGCTGCAGACAGATAATAGTTCGCTAACTGGTAAGTGCCAGTAGATGACACTCAAGAATAGGCAGAGTTGCTAGGACTAAAAAGCTTCTTTGTGGCCTGCATATGGCTTTGTCAGAGCAGCTCTTTCCTTCAGCTCTTAACATGCTGTGAGTAGTAGGACTCGTGAGTTCTTAATGGCTCTTCCTCCCTCCAAATCAACCCCCTCTTCCGTGTTTCTATGAGTTCCCTTATAGTCCCCTTAACAAAGAGCAGGCACATGCTGTCCGACTACGCGGCTTTCATTACGCCGGGGAGAAAACCACAACAGGACAGGACCAAAGTCAAGTCTCCATGGGAGAGCACAGCGTGAGCGTCGCCTCTGTAGGCAGCCGCACCTCAGCGACCAAGATGGCTGCTGTCTGCATGCTCCTCAGAAATATAGAGATGCAGGGCACCTAAAACAAAAGGCCTCAGTTCGACGCTACAGACCGCTAAACAATTGCTCCTGCTCCATTTCTATACGTCACTCCCACCTCCTCTTTCTCACTGCGTCCCAATCACTCTCCTGCTGGTTCATCTTCTAGCTCTCCTAAGCCCTTCACACCAGAGCATGGCTTGTTAAGTCATTCCCTGGGGGATGTGGCTTTCTGCCACCCCCAGCCTCGTTTGGACTGAGAGAAAGGAAGATGCAGAGGCCTAGAACTGCGTCTTTCTTCACACCAGCTGCTGAAACATTTGCTCTCTGCACACAGCTTTCCGCTGCATCGCTGGGTTCAGACCCTAGCTTGAGTGTGCAGTGCACAGTTCTGGTCTCCCATGGTTAAGAAAGATGAATTCCAGCTGGAACAGGGGCAGAGAAGGGCGACTGGGATGGTCCTCAGAATGGAGACTCCGCCTTATGAGAGGAGATGCAAGGAGTGTGGCTTGGGTAACCTAGCCAAACGAAGGTTGAGGGGAGATAGGTTCGCCCTCCATAAATATACCCGTGGGATATATGCCGGGGAGGGAGAGAAGTTATGAACAAATGGCTATAAACTGGCCACCCGCAAGCTTAGGCTTGAAATTAGATGAAGGTTTCTAACCCTCAGCGGAAGGAAGTTCTGGAATAACCTCCCAGGAGGAGCAGTGGGAGCAAAATAAATCGAACTGGCTTCAGTGCTGAGTCTGATACGTTTGTGGTCGAGGTGGTAGGAAGAGATGGCCTATAACGGCGGAAGGCCCGTGTGCAACAGCTAGTACAAATATCCCCAACGCTCAGGGATGGGCACTCGATGGGGAGAGCTCTGAGTTACTACAGGGTCTTGCCCTTATACTCAGGGTGTAACTGATGTTCCATGTTTGGGGTCCGGAAGGAATTTTCCCCCAGGTCAGATTGGCAGAGTTTTTTGTGGCACGGGGCAAAAGTCACCTGCAGGTTTCAACGAATGTAAATGGTGGAATCTCTGAACCTTGAAGTCTTTAATCATGGTTTGAGGGTTTCAGAAACTCAGGCAGAGGTTCGGGTTTATTTCAGGCATGGGTGGGTGAG